CCCCAAAACCCCAAAACCCCAAAACCCCATAAAGCATTATAAATGCTTAAATTTTAACTTAATACTTAAATATATGTAAAAATAGAGGCTTTTCGATTGCTAGAGATTAACTATATATTCAGAAATTAGATCTTAACGGTGAGTGCTCTTTTCTGTTATAACTAGGCTAGTAGTTTTGGGCATGATAAGAACTACCTCCTAGATGAGTGATACTTAATTAGTTTGGAGGTGCCACTTGGCTCTAATGAAGATTTCCTTTACTGCTTTCATTTTAAAGTATAGGGCCACCATTAAGGGATCTAGGATTTAAGAATCTAAGTGCATGTGACTCTCTACCATAGCTGGATGCAAAATTGTGAGTCTCACCTGCACTTGTTCTTCGGAGATCATCATTTGATAGATTATCGTATTTGTAGGCAGTTTAAGACTTATATAAATCTTGAGCTTAGAGTTCTGGGAGCCTAGCATGAGACATGTACAATTAATTTTAAAGCTGAGGTTGTGGATATTGAATTTAATGAGCAGCTTGAGAATGCAAAACTGCAGGTCTATAAGTTGAAATCTTGGCTTATTCAGCAGACTGCAAGTCAAACATCCTTGATGATTAGACCCCAAAACTTTAAGTTTGCATGGTAGCTGCATTAGGGAGTTGAGAGCCTCTCGGATTATATTAACTCACTATAGGTGAAAGGTTATGATCCCTTTTCTCTAGAGTCTTCACAATACTATCATCAAGACTTACAAAACTATCTAGCTCCTCTTCAATTGCTTTATTAGCTTATGCAACTTTCTCAGTATGTCGCCTTAATGCATCTCTTTCCTACATTAATACCTCTAGCTTTTCCTTTAAAAGTTGATTGTCTCTTTAATAATTTTTATGGTCAACTACTATTAAATCTATCTCTGCATCTCTTCTCGCTATCTTGTCGTTTATTTCACGGGAACGAGTATACAATTCTTTCGCCTTGACTTCTTCCATGAGATGCTGATCTTTAAATCTCATTCCTAGTTCCAAGCATCTGTCGTTTTCAGTTATTTAATGTTGGATCTAAGTTTGAATGTTAGTTAATCTACTATCTTCCTATGCAACTTAAGTCTTGACATGTGATAATTTCTAATCTTTGTCAATATTTTCCCTTTCTAACTACCTTAATTTATCCTCTTTAATTTGCTATTCCAACTCTTTTTCCCTTAATCTATTTACTAATTCCTCCTCTTTTTCCAGCAAATGACTGCTTTAATCTGCACCTCTATACAATGAGTGTGATAATTTGTCCTTAATAGCTCTCTGTTCTAATTATCTTTTCTTTTCGTCAGTAATCTAATCTTCAAGCATTGCGATTTCATCTTTAATTGCTTTATTTTGCTTAAGAATGATATCATTCTAATCTCTTAAAAGTGAGTAATCAGAGTCAGAGTGCACTAACTTGTCTTTATTGTTTGTTAATTTACCCTTAATATCTCTATTATCTCCATCTTTATTTCCATTTATCCTCTATAGTTCATCTAATTCTTTTCTTGTCATATCAATTTCCTACTCTTGTCCATTTATCTTAGTCTGATAATCTCTTTAAGCTATATCCTTCTCTTCTTTTAGGTATCTCAATCTCTCTTCTAGCTATTGAACCTGCATTATCAATTATTTATAGTCATTATCAGACTATTTTAACTCATAAACTTCACTCTTAAGATGAATAATCACCAGGTCCTTTTATTATGAGGTTAACCCAATAGTACTACGATTTGGTGAATATGAATGCTGCTGCTAAGAGTGATGGTATTGCTGCTACTGTTTCATTACAAGTTTAAAACTTCAAATAAAATTTAATTAATAATTGTTAAATTCATAATTATTATATAATATTTTATGGAACATAAGCAAAGTGTATAGAGTTTGGGTTTTAATTCAATTTCTGAGACCCTTTCTTCCCTTATAATGTCTAGGCCTACCACTCATTAGATACCTCTTAGAGCCTCAAATATTAAAAATGTTAAAACCCTTTCCAGAATTTGTAATGATAGTTATTTCATCTAGAATTGAACCTAATTATTCAAATTATAGAGTCAGTTGAGGCTAAAACTTTCATGTCGTAGAGAAATCTATTGCAATAATCTGGTATATCTAAATAATCTATGCAAAAAATAAATGGAATGAAAATTGATACTAATGCAAATGGGAGCCCTACATAAATAACATAGACAACTTAGCATTTAACATTAGAGGACTTAAACCCTCGAGGTACAGCTTCTTCACATACTAGGCTATAGTCCTTGACTAGGGGATCAGTTGGGGGTGGAGTGGCTGATTTTCCTTAAAGCACCATTTCTAGAGGGTCTACACTTGGTGGCGGAGATATACCTCCTCCAAGTCTGAGACTAGATTTACAAAGGCTAAATGAATATAAAACCATAATTGATCAAAAGGAAAGGACTATATCTGATCTGAGGACAAAGTTGAAATTTAATGAGAGCAAGATGTCTGCTGGAGGAGCCACAATGATGCTAAAGTCAAATTTAATGAAAGCTGATTCACTTATGAATTTTCGTATAAATGAGAATACTGATATTACCGAGCTAAAGAAAGTTTTGATTAATTTGATTGCAGAAACTTAACAAACTGAGGAAGTATTAGTCAATAGATGCAACAAAATTAGAGAAATGCTAGATCTTTATGAAGCAAGAATATAATTCGATGACATGCTATTTTTAAAGGAAAAGGATGTGCAACGAATGAATGAGCATATTAAACATCTAACAGATAGCCTTGTGAATGCTTCAAAAAATGAACTCTTATTTAACGAAAAGATTAGAGAGACAGCTAAATGCAAGCATGACTTAGCCATGATAAGAAGCAGGAATGAATTCCTAGAAAAATAAAATTAGATTCTAAACACTGAGGTTAAGGATCTTAAGCATCAAATGGTTATAATGAAGGAAATCGAAATGTAGATGAATAAATAGAAAATAGCTGATTAAAATTAGCTATAAGTGATGACCCGAAGATTAGACACCCTGGAAAAGGGACTTGAAGTATTCTAAGACAATAGAAAGTCTAAGCCAGATGATGAGTATAAGCTCAAGAACACAGTTAATTTTCTCATTAGAGAGACATAAGAGCTGAAGAAAGATATTTAACTCAAGAAAAAAACAATAGAAAATAAGGACCGAGAAATATAAAAGCTCCTCAGTAAGATCTAGAAATTCTTATCTTAAAAGAATGAGGAGGGGATAGAGGATGATGAGTTCGGTCAGGAATAATATGAGTTAGCTAAAGATAAAATGGGCAACGACCATTTCTCTACGAACACTGGTTCAGTGGTTTAACTTGAGGATGGTACTTTGAACCTTTACATGCCTTCTGTGAATAAGCATGATGAGCCTAAGAAATGCCTTGAGTACAGATTTAAGTCGATGAATCCAAATGATAGGTCTACCTTAACAGAATTAGTAGAGAGTGGTTCTTAATTCTTTGTGGATTACTTGATCAACCGTGGAGATGTCTAGCAAGTCAAAGATAAGTTTAAATTTGTTTGCGAGTAGCTATTGAAAACAAATAAATTCGTTGAGAAGCTCAACTATATTTTCCATGTACCGTTCATGCACGTCAAAAAGAATGATGAGAAGGCAATTATTTTATCAATCTAAAGTGATGCTTCAAGCGTGATGGACAAGCCTTAAAGAGTTAACTTGTGGATTAGAGACACTTTGAACAACGAGTTGCTGACATATGTGGGTGAAAAGAGGCTATAGTTTGAAACTAGCACTGATGTCATTGGACAGTGCTGCTAATCTCAAAACACAGTTGTCTTCTAAAATGTAAGAGAATGCCAATTTTACGATGACGCATTTGAAAGAGCATTCGAGCAAATTGATCCTTATACATACAAAGAGAGAACATTCGTTATGGCTCTTCCAATAAAGCATCCCAGGACATCATAAGTAATAGGCGTATTAGAAATCTGTCTGCCTAGATAAGCCTAGTTAGACGATTACTTCATGGCTGATGGGCTGAGCTAAATCAGTGGCATTCTACTTAGCAGATTTATTGAATCAAGGAACTACCTCAGATAAAGCATAAATCTCAGGAAAATTGTTGAGAGGTCTAAAGAACTGGTTGAGGCTTCAAGAGATGGAGAGGAGGCCTTTGGGTTACAGATTGAATTCATAGTAAAAGAGATATTTGGGCTCTAAGTGGCAAGGTTCGTATATATTCAAGATGGCAGATCTATATGGTACACTGATGGAGAAACTAAGCAATCTAATCATTCCCTTGCATTAGAGGTATCAATTACGAAGATTGGAATCATATTCGGACAGCCTGAATAGGAGAAGAGCTTTAATGGCAACATTGATATAAATACTAATCTGCCTCTGGTATGCTATCCCATATTCGATTATACATACCTAGCTGAGAAGAAAATTCTGGGGGTGATCGAAATCCCACAGCCTCAGTTTAGGTACTCTGGCCACTCGAAGACAACACTTAAGAATATGCTGATTGATGAAGCAATGAAAGACACTCTTGATACACTTTCAAGGGTAATATCTAATATCATATAAACTCAAGTCTAAGTTTAATGATTTAACTAGTTTGAATTTTATAAACGCCAAGATTAAATTAGCTAATGATATTTTACTCTTTCGGGGTTTTGGGGTTTTGGGGTTTTGGGG